CAATCCTCCAATTTCTTCAGTTCACCCTGAATCCTAGCCCTACTCTCCGGTATTCACACATTCTCAGGAAAGACAACTTGGATTTCAGCAGCTACAATTGCAACTACTGTGGTCCATGGTAAGTCTGTGAACAGGCAGCTTGGAAGAGGAAGTTGCCTGATTCAAGAGTGTGTGTGTGTGTGTGCGCGCGCGCATGCGTGTACGTGCATGTGCACGTATGTGTGTGCGTGCGCGCGTATGTGTGTGCGTATGTGTGTGTGCGGATAGGGAGGCTGGAGAAGAAGGGAAGATAGGTTCTGCAGGGTATAGGGAGAATAAAATAGGAATAGGAACTAGGACAATGGACAAAAACTGAGACTGAAGGCTGTCAGAGGGGGATGCTGAGAAACGGTTTGGGAATCCATGACTGCCTGGGCAAGAAGACTGTGAGCTGGGAAGAAAAACAGGAGGCACTCTAGAAGAGAAGCTTTCTAAACCAGTAGTAAGTAACAGATGCCCTTTAATGTATTAGAAATAAACAAAAATAAAATGAAACAAAATTAAACTGGGTATTTAAGCTATTATATTATCATAACATATAAATTATATAAGTCAATGTATGCTATTTAATGGAGGCTTCTTTTTCCCCCTGAGAATGAAGAGTTATATACTAAGAAAAAAACACTTAGAAATGTTACATTTCTTTACTATTTAAGTTAGTTTTAATACTATGCCTATGAGAAAGAGCTAAATAGGAGTTTATTTACAGAGCTGTACTTAATATATGCTCCTATTGCTGACATCTGATGAAACATACAAATTAAAAATCCCCAAACAAGAAATTTCACAAATCTGAAAAGGGAAGTTTTCCAAATTCCATTTTAATAGGAAATTTCACAAATATTTGGATGAAATATTTCAGAAAGATATAATTTTCCACAAAAGCAAAATTCTGAGTTTCACCCAATTCTTGTAAAAAATTCATGATGTAACTTCTGCTTTCCACTCTCTCTCACCTCCCTCCAATTCCAACTCTCTTCCTTCCTTTTTTCACCTGGAAAGACTGGAGTTATTTACAATATAAAGGAGAAAATTAAGAAAAGACATGATAAAAGCATACACAAGTAAAGATATTGAGAAGTTAGAACAGGAAGTTTTATTTACCCTATTTTGGAAAAAGAAGTAGAGAACAGTCAATTAAATAGGAGGGTGGCAAATTCAAAATTGACAAAAGAGGTTTTTTGTTTGTTTGTTTGTTTACACAATACACCATTAGTTTGTGAAGCTCATCACCAAAGGATATCATGAGAAAAAGATCTTAGCAGGATTCAAATAAGACTAGATATTTATATAAATAATAATATAAATTGTAATAAGTATTTAAGAATTATTGAATAAATTAAACCATCAGGTTTAAAAGCATAAGCCACAAAAAACTATTACCTACTAACAGTGCTGAACTTTCTTAGGCCAGAATCTCTGCATGGCCATTGTTGCTCATCATGCCAAATTATAAAAGATTCCTTCTTCTAAAGAAGCTGTTTCTGGCCAATGGTGGTAATTATGGTGATGATACAATACTAAACTAGGCTGATAATTAGTCTCATTCAATAGGACTATTCCTCTATGTGACAGCCTGTGTTCCCTGATCTCTTCAAAGTTAGTATAATAAGCAACAATGGCCACACAGAGGTACTTAGAACAAAGATTCAAAAATTTTCTTTATACTCACAAGAAAATAAAAAAACTGATTTCCTAGACCAATTAATTTGTTTTATTTTTTAAGGTACATGCTGTTTCCTACTTGCTGTATAATCCTGTATGTCTTACTCTGGCAAGGTAAAAGGCGCCATATTTAAACCCCATTTAAATCCAGCAAAATGGCCAAGGGATAAAAAATGGCATTGTAGACAGAATATTTTCAAAAAAAGAAAAGGACCCGAAAAATCTTTTCCACAGATAGAATAGGAAAAACAAAGACATCTGGCTGAAATTTACCCCTGTACAGAGTACCAACTTAAAGCTAATGCACCACTTAAATCCTATGCATGCATAGACTGAGAAAGGCCACATGCTGGACTTCTGGAGAGGCAAATTTTACCCTTTTACACATTTTCTGCAAACTACAATCTGCCTCACCAACTTAATTAGGGTAACTACCTGCAAAAATCTTTAAATGTTACTAAGTAAAACATGAAAAGAAAATGCTCATGTCCAAAAGATTATCTCAAGAAATTGCTACAGAAAGTAAAATAGTCACTCATTTCATGCCTTCCATATGTGAAGACAGTATCAGTGCTAAGAAGGTGAATAAACACAATACTCTCACAAAACTAACAAAATCTCTGTTGTATGGATAGTGCCTATAATAGAATCGATGATGAAAATAATTAAGAAAACTTAGCAAGCACATAATTAGTGTGTGCAAGGGCAATGAAGTCTGAGAACTTGAAACTCTTGTAGAACAGGTATTTTATTATGGCCTATAAAAGAGTTTTCAGAACCAGAAATTCATTAGTCTGGAAGGCACTATTGGGTTGATCAAAAGTGTCAGTGCTCCTGGGCTAGGGACAGAAATTATACATAAACTGATTATTACTTGGAAATCAGTTCAAATCTGCAAGACAACAGAAATTCAGTGTTGTGTTCATTTTGAAGTTCATTTTGAATCTGTTTTCAAAATGACCAAAACTGGTTTAAGATAAACCTGGATGGATATAGTATCAGACTTGATGGATTTAAGTTAAATCAGTTTATCAAACTTCTGTACCAGATCCCCTCCAGTGTCAAGTTAACTCACAGTCCCCCCAGCATCCCAGGATGCCTTGCACCTCCCCTGCAATCCCCCCCTCACAGGGTGGGCAGGCTAGCTTTGGCCCAAGCTATCTGCTCCAGCTGAGCATGCCTGGCTTCTGACCTAGGACACCACAGGCATGTGGCTGGCATTTCCAGAATCAAAAGTGAATGTCTGATCACTTGTCTAACAGTTGAATCTACGCAGCTTAGACTAACCAGAGAAGATTGAATCGATTCAGCCTCAGGCTTCTGGACTGTCTGTACTTAGGCCTGGAGGCAATTCACTGATGAAATAAGGTAAAACAGCTTAAAAGTTATGCCACTAGTCCAGTAAATAACTTGTGCTGCTTATTAAACTAAAGGAACTCATAATTATAATAATAAGACAGCAATAGTACTTGCTCCTCTAACACTACTTCAGAGACGAGAGGAAAGAAGAATTGAGGATGGGCTGGTTGTGACGGATTCTGGCTGGTGAACAGTTTTGGGGGAAAAAGGGGCTGGAGTTCTCTATTCTGTAGGTGAACCCACTGAACAGTACCTACATAGGAAACCATCTGTTTCAAAAGGCTTTAGAAAGCAGGGAGGTCAACTGGGTAGGGGAAACAGATCTGAGTAGCACTTGAGGAAGACACAGGGCTAATTTGTGGCATGCCTGCAAAAAAAAAGTTTGCTCCCACTGGTCCAGGAAATGAGAGAGGCAAAGAAAATCTAGTGCTAACCCTCAAGTATGAAGCACCATTAGGTTCATTGGCTGACTGTCACCAGACCCCCTGTCTCCACCAAAATCACTAGATGGAACAACTTTAAATCCTAAATATCCCACTTGAACATATTTATTTTGACTAAGTTTATCAACTCCTTACCCACCTAATTACCTGCTTGCAGATTGCAAAACAAGGACAATAATTGGCAACAATATGAAATATATTATTTTGCCTTTCCCTTTGTAATAATCCATTATTTTCCTTTGGAAAATATATGCTTTGAGACTAAGACTACTGATGTTACCATATTCACTTACTTACTTTATCAGAATGGTTAACTATTCTCTTTTGATCTATACCCACTTCTTTTAAAGGATGAAGTGGGTCAGTTTCCAAATTCTCACCTGAAATTATTTCCAATATCGGAGCTCATATATGTTGACAATACATTAAAGCTTTAATCATAACAGACTTTAGGAATATTTTTACAACAGAAAAGGAACATTTTCTGAAACCTTTTAAATACTTTCAACAGTTGACAATACGTCACATACGATTCTTAGACAATAGGAAGATTTCAAAATTACTGCCATTATTTATCCTACATTTTGAGGAAAAGCCTGAAATCTCTCTAAGCATCTGTAATTCTACTGTTACCACTTTCATATTTATGTGATAGAATGTCATATCTACATAAAGATATGGAAAAATGCCCAAATTGCAAGCTAGCGTGATTTTGAAGTTTTTCTTTCCAAGTATATTCAGTTTTTTTAAGTGCTGACTGCGTGGATCCTACTAAAAAAGTAGATGACCTTCTCTAGCTTCTTTAGATACCTATGAGATTACATATTGCTTTCTAACAACTGAATTTCCTTGGTCTTTCTATAAGCATCAGATTCAATAAAGTTGGAGAATTAATTTACTAAATACTATTATATATTATATAACACATAAATAATATATTTACCTTTATGAGTACTATATTTTTACAGTGTAATACACATATATATAACTTAAAATCAGAGTTTATGAGTAATATTTAAAATATGATTAATATTAAGAATTTTATTACATTTTATTATGACTTTTGCTCACATGTGAATACTTACTGAACACCACTTTCTATTTCCTGTTAGTCTGTCCGTTTTAATTTCAAGTTTACTTCAGCTCGTTTGTATATTTTAATATCTGCCCCTATTTACTACTCTGTTCCCATCCTTCCTCCCCTACAAATTAGGTACATGATACCTAGGGTAACTTGGCAATTTATTCATGAGTTATGATTGAGATTTGAAACTGCTTTTGCATAAAGAATTTCTGCAAAGTTATTAGAATCTTCTTATAGAGGATACCAACACTGTAGTACAATATGCAAATGGAAAAGGATGCTGGTCCATTAGACTGCGATCTTACCTATTTATTATTCAATATTTACTACAGTTGCAAAAGAGGTAATGGTATAGTATAGTAATGCAGACACTTCAAACAGAAGGAAAATTTTCGTTCAGTGAGTCTTACCTGACCAGTGTCCGGTGGTAGTGCCTGATCTGTCAGTACATGTCTCACTTACAGGCCTAAATACAGTCTCCCAGCCACCAGTAGCATAGCGCCAATTCTGAGACTCCAAAATGAGTGTTCTTTGAGTGCCATAGGCAATCATGAAGCAGTAGACTACATGATGAAGTTGACAGCCATAACCACAGCCTTTGTTGATATTACACACAAGTTTCTTGGCTTTGCTGCAGTCCTTGGGGTTCTATGAGTAAGGATGAAGAAGAAAAGTTGAAGCTATACATAAAGGTATATTTTGCTGAGAGAACAAATGACAAATATCATAAATCACATACGTCATGCTGCTACAATACATTGCACATTAAAATGAAAGAGCAGGCTTCAGCTCTATAAAAATTTTATGTGCATGCTTTGCAGTGAACATGAGCAGTTATTGCACATATTTCACTACCCTAATGTAAAATAAAATACCTTCAAGATTTTAAATTACTTTCTCATTTCTAAGTCTGTCAGAATATGGTAACATTTGGTCTCGGTGCTCATATTTAATCACCATGGCTCTAAGTGTAGGAATGTTCTTTCTTGATTTCCTTTGGCTCTTTTCCAACTTTGTCAGTTGCCTTTCAATGAACATGCATAAATTATCTAAAAAAGAACATTTCAGCCTGTCTAGAGAATAAAACAAACACGTATTAATGTAATACTGTACTATTTCCCATGCTAGCTTACCAACACAGAACACACTACATGACTAAACAAGACGGTAAAAGTCATGTTAATAAGGATTATATTCATGAAACAATTTTTGGTGAGGTGAAACCAAGACTTCAGGTTCTGTTGTTAGGGTATAATCCTGATCCACAAATGCCATGCAAGCATGGGCAGATGGGTTCCAGATATAGCCACTTATAAGATCTTAAGAAGTTTAATTCAGATCTGTAGGAGATATGCTTAGCAACGTTTTTGTCTTTATAGCACCTACTCTACATTTGCCTAGGTTTCAAATACAGTCTATGGCCACAAACAGGTGTTCACTACTAGTGATGGAAATTTTCCACCTCTAGAAATGTTTCCAAGAAAGGGAGCGGTACAGGTGTTCAATCTCCAATTGCCCTCTCTCCCCTGCTACTTGTGCCTTTCCAAGACCATGTGATTCAAGGACTATGGTCTGAGGAGTAGGTGGGGATCAGCTGGCTGATCCTCAGCTCCCACTCGCTCAGAAGCCAAGCAGGGGAGCAGCCTAAATACGTCTCCCCCACTTCTCAAATTGGGGACGCTGGTCTGGGAAGCAGTGGACAGCTGCTCCTCCACTCTTCTCCAAGTCTATGAGTGAAACAGATGGAGTTACCCCCACACTTCCTTCAAACTGGGGTAATCCTGACCTGGAGAAGGCACAGAAGTGTTTCCCCACAATTCAACTCTTCCCGGGACTGGAAGGAGGTGAGGCAAGCAGCTGTTCCCCATGCCTCCCCAGGATTGGGGTGACCCTGGAGCATCTGGTCCCTCTTGGTCCCCTGGAGGAGAAAAGCTGTGGGAAAATATACAGGTATTCATTCTCCAGGGGGAAAGTCTTCCCAGAGCAAACTCTACCGGGTTGGAGATGGGGCATTTTTCTCCCAGAACTGTCATTTTTGTTTTCAGACAAACTGTGTGAATTAACGTAAGCTTGTGGTTTCTACCAAGAGAGCTACAATTCTGCTAATAGAAACAGCTACTTGCAGATGTGGAAAAAAACTCCCCAGAACAACACTTTACTTTAAACTTGGTGCACTCCAGCATCGAACCCACCCCACCGTGCCCGAAAGAGGCATCACAATAGTTGGTCTTGGCTTCTCCAACATCTATATAGTTTGGATGCTTTAGTGGGGAATTTTTGGCATTTTTATCTAATAGCTGATTGAATCAGCTATTAGATAAAAGCATCAAAAAGCCCCGCTGAATTGCCCAATCTGTAGAGATGCTGCAGAGCTAGGTTGGGAATGAATGATGCAGACAGGGGAAACCCTAACCGCATTATGAAGGTAACTGCATTATGAAGGACTTCAAGGCTCTGGGGGCCAAGCTTAAGGAGAAGGAGGCGCAGGTGGTATTCTCCTCTCTTCCTCCGGTGAGTAGACAGGGACGGCAACACAAGTCCTGCATTGGCAAGGTCAACTGGTGCTTATGGAGTTGGTGCCGCCAGGCAGGCCTTGGGTTCCTAGATAATGACCCATGCTTTTGGGCGGGGGACTTGCTGGGGCAGGATGGGCTTCACGTCTCTCCTAAAGGCAAGCGTGTCTTCTCTTCCAGGTTGGCTGATCTCATACAGCGAGCTTTAAACTAGCCTCGCCGGGGGAGGGGGCCGCAGGAAGACGTGGAGACACCACCCGAGCAAGACAGGTGACACATGCAAAGAGTGCCCAGGTAAGAAACAGGGGTCCAGATAGTCTTCCTAATGGGGGGAGGGGGGTGGCACACGCAGCTATGCAAGGCCTTAAATGCCTGTATACCAATGCTCGGAGTATGGGGAACAAACAGGAGGACTTCGCCCTCACAATAGGCAGTTCAAACCCAGACATAGTAGGGCTTACAGAAACGTGATGGGATTCATCCCACGACTGGGCAGTTAGCATTAGGGGCTATAGGCTCTACAGGCGGGATAGAGAAGGAAGGAAGAGAGGGGGTGTGGCGCTCTATGTCAAAGAGCAATACACATCCTCTGCCAGCAAAATGGGGTCAGAGGAGGGGCAAGCTGACGTGCTTTGGGTTAAGATACAAGGGGGTCGTTGGGAGAGGGATTTAACAGTGGGGGTCTACTACAGACCCCCCAAGCAAGGGGAGGAGCTGGACCAGGAATTTTCAGGACAACTTGCAGAGGCACTTAAGGCAAGGGATGCAGTTGTCATGGGTGATCTAAATTACCCGGACATCTGCTGGGAGGAGCAGTCAGCCAGGTCGGACCATTCCAGGGGGTTCCTGGCCAAGATACAGGACCTCCACTTAACTGTGGGTGCACAGTCCCACCAGAGGAAATGCCCTGTTGGACCTGGTCCTGGCCACAGGTGATGATCTGGTAAGGGGGCTCCAGGTCCTTGACCACCTGGGTGACAGTGATCATCGCTTGCTGGAATTCATCATCCAGCGCAGGGTGACAAGGGCCTGCAGCAAGGCGGTCGCCCTAGACTTCAAGAGGGCCAACTTCAAAGAGTTGAGATTGGTGGGAGAGGCACTGGGGTTCTTGAGGGCAGGGGAACTCAGTGCCCAAGATGAGTGGTTGTTCCTTAAGGAGACAATACTCAGGGCCCAAGGGGTGACGATCCCAACAAGAAGCAAGGGGGCCAAGAGTGCCCAAAAGCCTCCCTGGCTCACCAAGGACGTCCGCAAATGCCTGGCTACCAAAAAGGCGGCGTACACCTGGTGGAAGCGGGGGGCGATCTCCAAAGAAGAGTATACCTCCACTGCTCAGGCCTGTAGCGGGGCTGTTAGGAAAGCTAAGACGGACATAGAGCTAGGACTACCGTCCAAGATCAAAAATAATAAAAAGTCCTTTTTCAAATATATAGGGAGGATGAAGAAGGCACCGGGAAATGTGGGGCCGCTGCAAGATATGTTGGGAAACCTGGTGGTTGCGCCAGAGGAGAAGGCAAACATCTTTAACAAATTCTTCACCTCTGTTTTCTTGTGCAGGGACTGGGACTCCCCCACCGTATTTCAAGACGGACTCGAGGGGAACGCCTCAAGACCCAAGGTTGAGGAGGACCGGGCTAGAGTGCTTCTGGAGGGGCTGGACGTGTTCAAATCAGCAGGTCCAGATGCTCTCCACCCCAGGGTGTTGAGGGAGCTAGCGGGGGTTATTGCAGGGCCCTTGGCACGGCTTTACGAGCGCTCGTGGTGCTCGGGGCCAGGTGCCAGATGATTGGAAGATAGCCAGTGTGGTCCCCATCTTTAAAAAAGGGAGGAGGGA